AAAACTCCTTGGGCTTCCTAATTGGTAAAAAAACATTGACGCATGTGGGAGGGTAGGGGTGCCCCTTTTTGGGACATGGAAGCTCCTCCTGGGGAACCCTCCCAGACCTTGCCCTATGTGTCTCTTCATTTATATCTTTTTTCTATAATAAACTTGTAAATGTAAGTACAGTGCTTTCCTGAGTTCTGTGAGTCACTCTAGTAAACTGTCAAATCCAAGATAGAGGAAACCAGTAGGCCCAAGTGAGGGGGACCCTGGGACCCTGGACACCCCTGAGCTTATGGCTGGCATCCTGAGGACGTAGTGGGAAAACTCTAAATTTGTAGCCAACAGGTCAGATGTGAGGATGCCATGGGGATTCCCAAGCTTGTGGCTAGCGTCTTTGGTCTTGGGCAGTCTGGGGGACTGTGCCCTGTAACTTGTGAGGTCTGATCCAGCCACAAGCGGTTAGGGTAAGAAGAAGTACTACATGGGCAGGTGAACTGGAACTGAATTCCTTCAGTTAACTTGGTGTCAGAGAACTGGAATAGATGCCACTGATCCTTACAGATAGGGAGATAGGACTGTACTGCCAGACCTTTCAAGATCAAAAGCTGTCTGTCCATGGCTGAGTACATTTTTGGTGCTACAATGAACCCACCAAGCCTGCTTTCTGGGACCCTCTGTCCAAGCTGCCCTTCAGAAACAAGTTAAAACTCTTAATCCTAACCATGTCCTTTGCTTCCTTTCTATTAAGCTCAAGGCATAAGAAATCTCTACCTCATGTCAAGTAAGTCTGAACACATGAAGCCAAGATCCAGTTTTCTATATGTGTCTGTATGGTTGCATTACTGCCATCAGCTTTAGTTCAACAAGGAAGTGTCAAGCCATTGATACCTATGAGGCCCTCCTAAAATGCCAGCTGCCCATTTTAACACTCAGTACACACATCTGTAGCAATTGCTGAAATCTCTTAACACTAAAGGCTTAATCTTCGACCTCTACATTTCAATCATTTAAAAATTGTTGCTAGCAGAGAAGTAGATTAGGAGCTCTACAATAGTATGCTTTGTGCACAAAACATACTCAGAGTTTTTTTGTTTTCTCTAAGGTTGAGGTTGCTCCCTGTTGTGATGTCCACTACTCAGCAATGTGTCATCCACCAGACACTACATCTGTGTACCCCCGTGCCACCCACACAGGCACCACCCCTTGGGGAATTCCAGGCCTGCAGAGAATGGGCCACCTGCTCCTTTTCCTGGCAAACCATTAGAACTCTGGAGCTCCATCTGCAGAGGCTACCCTTCCAGTGTTCTAAAGGGGAAGGCTCAGGAGACCACCTGAAAGGCCTATATACATCTGTGTATATGCACTCTTCAAGACTGTCGTTTAAAAATGATCTTCCCTATACAAACATACATAAGGAGCTCTAGTCATGCAGTGGTTAAAGCAGTTGGCTGCTAATCAAAAGGTTGACAGTTTGAACTCACCAACCATTCAACAGGAGAAAGACAAGGCAGCTCTCCTCTGTCCTAAAGGGTCACTCTGAGTCAGAATTGGTTATACATATGCACAGAATGTTTCTGGAAGAACACATAGATACTATTCAGAGCTATCTGGGAGGGGATCTGGGCCAGGATCTGGAGGGTGACTAACCTGCCATGGTGCATTCTTTAGAACCCTCTGATTTGTGTACCTTGTGCATGCATTCCTATATCAAACATCTTTCTTCTTCAACTCTGCATATTTTCTTTCTTGACCCTCTCAAGGGCCCTCTTCTGACTAACTCATAATACCACCAGTTGCCAATTACAGAGTCAGGGACTCTATTTAGCACTTTACATGCACTGGCTTACTAGTAATTCCACCCAGTGAAGCCACATGTGAGGTAATCATTATCCCCATTGTACAACTGAGGAAACTGGTGCTTAAAGAGGTCAAGTTATTTGCCCAAAAGCACACAGCTAGTTAAATATAAGAACCAGATATGAGCCCAGGTGTGTCTGACTTAGAAGTTCATGCTTTTTACCACTATTCTGTACTGCAGGGTTTCTCAACTGGGGGCAATTTTGCCCCCCTCCAGGAGATAATGTGGCCATGTCTGGAGACATTTAGGTTGTCACAGCTGGGGTGGAGGGGTGGAGGGGCGTTACTGGGAGGCCAGGGATGCTGCTAAACATGCTACAGTTCACAGGACAGTACCCCACAATAAAGAATTATCTGGCTCCAGATGTCAACAGGACCAAGGTTAGAAACTGCCCTACTGGAAAAAGACAGACAGAGAAACCATCATCTGACCTAAACTCTCACAGTGTTTCCACCATGTCTACTTTGCATATTATAGTCAAATACCAAATAAACCACCAGGCCCTCCTCACTCTTCATAGTATGGCCAACCCCTCATGACATCAGTTTCCTCTAGCCCCACTTGCTAGTTCCTCTTCAGCCAATCAAGGCTGATCATCCAACCAGCCAACAATAGCTAATGAGCCCCAGCTGAAAAAAACAAAACAAAAACCCCAAACCCATGGCATCTTGTTGATTCCATCTCATGGCGACCCTACAGGACAGAGTAGAACCACCTCATAGGGTTTCCAAGGCTGTAATTCTTTACAGAAGAAGAATGCCTCATCTTTCTCCCACAGAGCAGCTGGTAGGTTTGAACCCCTGACCTTTTGGTTAGCAGCTGAATGCTTTAACCACTGCACCACGACAGCTCCTTAAGCCCAGCTATATGCTAGGAAATGAACTACAGGTAGGAATACCACGATGCTGGTCTAGCAGGGAAACAGACCAGGAAACCTATGATTACAATATGAACGTCACGGGAGGGGCTGCAAACTCAGCTGGGTGGTGGAGGGCGCTGAGTACATGCTACATTATAATACTTTTGCTCTTAGGACTATTGTCATTGCAGCTCAGCCTCAGTTTTTGATTCTAAATATAAATGACAACAGTTTCCATGTGTTCAATGCTTACTGCGTACCAGGCACCGTTAAGCGCTTTACAGGTATTACCTCATTAAATCTGTCCCAAAGCAATTGAGCTTGAAGAAATAAACTAACAGAGAGAATCTTCCCCTTCCCAAAGGATCCCTCCCAGACCTTCCAGGACTGGGACTGACGACTTTCCTTGGAAAGCTTGGTGTACTCTTGAGAAGTAGGGAGGGCACAGAGCAGTCCTTGATCCAACCTGGATCGTTAAGTTCCTGCCTCAGGGATGGAAAGGCAAGCTGGCTTTTGCATGGGTTTAGCCCTGCATTCTATTGCAATCGCCTCCTAACTGGCATCCCTGGCTCCAAACTATTCTGTACCTTGCAGCAGAAGGAAGCTAACATTTTATAAGGGCCTTCTACACTGCCATCAGGAGCTCTGGTGGCGTAGTGCCTAAGGCATTTGACTGCTAACCAGGAGGCTGGCCATTCCTCGGAAAGAAGATTGGGTGCTCTATTTCCATAGTGATACCACCTCAGAACGCCTCGGAAACCCAAGGAGGGGTCGCTATCAACCTGATGGTAGTGAGTGACACTGCCATTGAGTCGATCAGACTCATAGCAACCCCCAACTGGGTTTCTGAAGCAGTAAATCTTTACAGATTTATGGCAGTAAATCCCTACATTACAGATGAGGAAACCAAGACCACAAAGTGGTCCCCGGGACACAGAATCAGTAAACAAAGTAGCAGCAAATCATACCTAACTCCAGCCCTTGATGCTGCCTCCGGTCCTTTACAGTTAGCGATAAATGACAACAATCCGCTCAGGCCCTTCACTCTCAATCTTTACCCTCTCAGTCAAGTGTTCTACCATCAGTCACCTCCTCCTGTGCACCCACACACGCTTGAGCAGCCCTCAGAGAGAAAAATGATTCCTCTATGGTGTATCTCACATTGTCCTGTGATTATCCACTCAGCTAAGAGCTCCTTGCTCCCTGGGATCCTGTCTTATTCATCTCCACATTCATTGATGAAATGGGGAGGCAGAGGCCTGGTGAGTAGGCCCAGTCCTTTTTCATCAATTAATTCAGCGGACTTCTCCTCAGGCTGGGCCCAAGCCCCAAAGTGAATAACACAGTCACAGCTGAAAATCATATAAATTTCTCTTGAAAACCGTTCAGGAGAACGTCACAGTGGAGATGGAGTTTCTCCTCTCAGCCAGCTTTGCCCCAGCCTTAGAAGAGTCCTAATTCCTCTTTAGTTATTGACCACATGGAGTATCTGGCTAATGCTTGAGGGCCATGTTGGAACAAAAAATACGTATCATTAAACACTAGAATTTTAAAAGGAATGGGTGTGAGTTCCTTGCTCTGTCTTTTCCTTTCTGCTAGACAGAGTATACAGACCATGGGGGAGCAGGAACAGCTAGCTCAGACCATACAATAGGAGTCCAGGTTTGAGAAAGCAGAGCCACGTGATTGCAGGAACCCTGTACCTGGCTGACCTCACAGACCAGAGCCAGCCATCCTACCAGCTCTGGACTGCATACTTCCAGAATATTAAGGGGATGAGAAATAAACTTCTATTTAATTTCAGATACTCCATTTTGGGATCACTATGTTGAAGATTTTAGATTGTACCTAATTAAAACAAGGTGTGCATATCATCCAGTTATTAACTGACAAGGGTCTTTGTTGGTAAAGCAATGATACTAGTATCAGCAACTTCCCACACAAAGCATAACTGTTGTTGTTGTTGGTAGTTGCTGTCAAGTCAATTCCAACTCACAGTGACCCCACATGTCCAGAGTAGACTGTCCTCCACAGGGTTTTCAAGGCTGTCACCTTTGAGAAGCAGATTGCCAGGCCTGTCTTCCAAGGCATCTCTAGGTGAGTTCAAACTGCCAACCTTAACTGTTTGTGCCACCATATTTCTATTATGTCCCCTTCTTTCTGCCCTACTTTAGGAGAGCAATCCCACACAAAAAGCTATCTTGAATGGTGATTTGAATCATATTGAGCCTAGAAAAGGACAAAGAACCTAATTCAAGCCCCAATTGGTTTCATCCTTAAGTAGTATGGACATACCTCAGATTTCCAAACAGCCCAGGCTACTCTTTTCTGACAGTCTGTCTGCATAAACTCCAGCTTGGCTCCCCTCCTCCAGCTCATTACCTGAATCAAAGATACCCAAGTGGGAAATCTGATGAGACTCCTAAGAGTCATCCTTTTATTCATTCACCAAACACAGGCAATAGCAGAGTGCTTAGCACAAAGCCTGGCACAAAGTCAGTGCTCATAAATGTTGAATGTTCTCATTATCGGTATGTCAGACATTGTGCTGGGCACCTGGGATACAAACGTGAATCAGCCCAGTTCCAGACCCTATGCCTAGGGAACTACTGCTTAGTGAAAAACACAATACAATGCTGATAAGCAAAAACACTTGGGTCCAAGTATTACTGTAGAACTAGCATTTCTCTAGGACATCTTGGACACTTTGCTTCTCACTTTATACCACCATCCTAGGTGACTACATCTGGTCCCATGACTTAAGTGACCTTTGATGGATGACAACTTCTAGAGCTCCTGCTACACTGGACAGCTCCTCTTGAATGTTTCACATGCATCTTAATTTCAACATGTTCAAAACTAAACTTATCTTTTCTCCTCAAACCTGCTCCTATTGTCAATGTTCCCTATGTCACTGAGCAGTATCACCATCCACCAGTCAAAAACTTGAGGTCAATCTTGACCCACCCTCATTTCTCACCTGGATTGTTCTAGTAACCTCCTAACTGGCCCCCAGAACCACTCCCTTTAATCGAGTTTTCATATAGTTAGAGGGATATTTCTAATTCATAAATCTGGACCTTAAATGGCTTCCCATTAGAGTCCTTAACTAGGTTTACAAGGCCCTGTAGGACCAGACCACAGTCTGCTTCTTCAACCTCTCATCTTTCTTTCTCTAGGTAGAGAACTTATCCCTATTATTAAATTGGCCCCTGAGTTTTCTCAACCTTTTCAACCTTTTCCTGACTCCATCCACTAACTTCTGGGGACAGATGCCTCCCTGGATTTGCTCAGACTGAGTGAAGGACAGGCCTCTACTCTGTGCCCCCATAGCAAGGGGATCTTTTCTACCATCAGCACTATCAGAACTGCCTATTCACCTGTATGGCTTCCATAAGAGTCTCTGAGCTCTGGATGACGATGATAACATGGAATGACAGCAACAAAATACTTTAAGTCAGGACGCGTTTTCAACACTTTACACCTACTATCTCATTTAATCTTTATGATACCCTTAGGAGGTAGCTTTCACTATCAACCTCTGCTGTAAGGATAAGGAAACCGAGGCTAAGAGAGACACCCTAACGCGTCTAAAGACACAGCACGGAGTCGGGATTCAAACGCCGGCAGCCTGACTCGACAGTTCACACTCCTAACCACTACTCCATGATCGAGTGTGTCTAGGTCATCAGCTGTATCTTCAGAACTTATCAGGTGTAAAACTACTCTCTATAGAATGAATCAATGAATGAATGAAATAATTTTAAATAGAGACAATGCTTGTCTCCTACTCGGCCAGCACCTCCTAGGCGCTCCCGGCCTGTGCCCTCTGGCCAGGGACTGCCCATGTGAGCTGCCCCGTCACCTCTCCATCTCGCGGTCGCAGAACGCCCACCTACCGCGGCGCGCGGGGTCAAGGGGCGGTGACAGCCGGGCGGGGGCGGAGATGCTACCAGCTGGGGAGTCATCCAGCCTGGGAGGCGATTTGCGCCCCCAGGCCGGAACAGCCAGTCTGCCCGCCCACTCCCTACCCACTATCCCGGAGGCGCCCCCCCGCCCACCTGCCCCGCGCGCTCCAGCCTTATTCCCTCAGTCAGGGTCCTGTCCCATTCCACTTCCCTCCCCTCCCCCACACAACCGTCCCCGGCCTCCCGCGGCGCCCCATCGCCCCCCCACCTCCAGTGCCTCTGCCCCTACTCCCTAAACTCCCCCGGCCTGGGGCGCTTGCCGACCCTCACCTGCCATGTCCCGGACCCCACTGCAGAGGGAGGTGCATCACGGCCGCGAGAAGGCCAGGGACGGCACTTCACAGGAGACAAAGGGCGCCGCCATGTTAGAGTAGGGCGGAATCGACCTCGCTGGCTTCCCGGCCGCAACTTCCGGCGCATGCGCAGGGCTCACGCTAGCATCGCGACCGGGGACAGGCGCATGCGCCTAGCTATCCCTAAATTGTGCGTTACGGTGCTTCTGCTTTTGGAAAGGTCCTTGTTGTACACCTTCCTTGATTTCCTGTTCCAAACATAACAACAGCTACTGTGTATTCAGCGTTTGTTGTGTACTAGGCACTATGTTAAGCGCTTTGCATGTATTATCTCTTTGACTCCTCAAACCAAGCATAAAATCAAAACCCACTGCCATTGAGCCAATTCCCACTCAGCCACTCTGTAGGACAAAGTAGAACTGCCCCATAGGGTTTCCAAGGCTGTAAATCTTTACGGAAGCATGCCTCCTTATCTTTCTACTGGAAAGGCTGGTGGGTACTAGTATTCTCCCCATTTTGAAGATGGAAAAATTGAAGCTCAGAAAGGGCAGATAAACTACTACTGCCCCATAATTACATATCTTAAAAGTGCTAGTAGAGAGGAGATGTGAACCTAGTTTTGATTCCGAAGCTGATCCTTTTCCCACCATAGGTTCCTGATTTTGCTTTTCAACTCTGAACCAACCATCACCTCTTTCCCTATTCACACAGATCCAGGATTAGCATGGGTGTCTGAAAACACAGTACCTGCAGACTTGATGAACCAGTACTTCTGAACCAATCTTTCCACCTTCTCGGTACCTTTAGGCCATTGACTTCTCTACTTCCTCATAGTACAGATGTTGTCTCTCTCTCTCTCTCTCTCTCTCTCTCTCTCTCTCTCTCTCTTTTAATTTCTGATCCTGTTTATTTTCTATGTTCCATCATTTTAACAACACTGTGAACATCTAAACTCCTTTGCACCCCTATACCTTTGTCACATTAATCTAACCCTGAACTAATTTACCTGCATCTTTCCTCTGCCTGTACCCAAAAGCCAAGCACAGTTGGAGAAAATACACAATTGGCGCAGGCTACTGCCTATAAACCCATGAGGGCAAGTAGAGCCCCATGACCCAGTAAGCAAGGTATGCAGGGGTTCAATTGTGGCCTTCCCACCAATCTGCAGTGCACAATTTCACCTGTGCCCTCACTAAGGTTGGGCAATCTACTTCCGTAGTGATACTGCCTCGGAAACCCAAGGAGGGGTCGCTATGAGTCGGGGCCGACTCGACGGCACATAACAACAACAACAACAACCTCACTACAGCAAAGATAAGGTAAGACTATGTAAAATCACTCACCACAGATTAGCAAGTAAGCTGTTTGTACCTTGCCTAGTGCAAGCCGGTCCATACCATACTTACTGATTAATCTGCCCCTGACCACAAGCCTTAGCTGGGACTTCAGCAAATGTCTGCTTGACCAACTCACTACTTCTTTCTTCACAATAACTAGGGAAACTAAAAAGCTCAGGGAAAGTCATATCAAATCTCACAGAAACACTTAGTCATCCCAATACTAAGCATGCAAATCTACCTCTATGTTCATCTGTGTTGGATGTGGTCAGTCAGGACTCAGCATCTATTTCTTCCTTAATCTGCAAGCTAAAATTTCATTTCCAAGACTTGGTTACAGTTAGAACTCAGGTATGGATGGGTTCTGCCAGTTAATGAGATTTGGAAGGTGGAAGGGAGGCAGTGGCCATTGGATGATTTCTGCAGGCAAGCAAGGACATGCGTATGTGGGGATTTGCAGCAGTGCTTGGTGGCCAGGCTCCAGCTTTATGAGTGTCCGGAAGCATCTTTGCAGTGGTGGTAGCCAAACTCAGCATTCCAGTTCCCAGGAACCAGCTCCTAGTCCCAGATTCTAGATCTATGGATTTCATCTGTGATGATGTGTTCTTGAATGCAAGAATCCCAGTGGTGACCTCTTGATTCACCATCTTCCTGATTGTGGCAGAAGTAATTCCTCCCAATTGGTGAGCTGTATAGTGTTCTGGAAGCTGGACTATATGAAGAAGAATGCTGTATCAGGATTGGAGGAAGACTCATTAACAACCTGTGATATGCAGATGACACAACCTTGCTTGCTGAAAGTGAAGGAGTCTTGAAGCACTTACTGATGAAGATCAAAGTCTACAGCCTTCAGTGTGGATTATACTTCAACATAAAGAAAACGAAAATCCTCACAACTGACCCATAAACAACATCATGATAAATGGAGAAAAGATTGAAGTTGTTGTCAAGGATTTCATTTTACTTGGATCCACAATTAACACTAATGGAAGCAGCAGTCCAGATATCAAATGGTATATTACATTGGGCAAATCTGTTGCAAAAGACCTCTTTAAAGTGTTAAAGAGCAAAGATGTCACTTTGAGGACTAAGATGCACCTAACCTAAGCCATGCATGTGAAAGCTTGACAGTGAATAAGGAAGACTGAAGAGAAATTGATGTATCTGAATTATGGTGATGGCAAAAAAAAATATTGAATGCACCGTGGATATGCAGAAGAACAAACAAATTTGTCTTGGAAAAAGTACAGCCAGAGCGCTCCTTGGAAGCAAGGACTGTGAGACTTTATTTCATTTACTTCGGTCATGTTGCCAGGAAGGACTAGTCCCTGGAGAAGGGCATCATGCTTGGTAAAGGAGAGAGTCAGCAAAAAAGAGGAAGACCCTCAATAAAATGGAGCAACACAGTTACTACAATAATGGGCTCAAACACAGTGACAGTTATGAGGATGGCACAGGGCCAGATAATGTTTTGTTCTTTGTATGTAGGATCACTATAATTCAGAGCCAACTTAACAGCAGCTAACAACAACACAGTGTGAGAACTATTCCTGGAGGCCCAGTCTTCATAAATTCTCTATGTTAAGTCCCTCTCTGCTTGCAAGAAGTCTGGAGACAACATGAAGGATCTTTGTGATGGTGAAAATGTTCTGTACCTTGACTGTATCAATGTTAATATCCTGGTTGTGGTATTGTGCTATAGTTTTACCATCTGTTACCATCAGAAAACTGGGGGAAATATACAAATGATACTCTGTATCTCTGTATCATTTGTTACAAGAACCTTTGTATCATTTGTTACAATTGCATGTAATTCAATAATTATCTTAAAATAAAATAAATAAACAGCCTAGAGAGGTTTCAATTTCCTATACTAAACCATAACTGAGACAGATTTAGTGTACCAGGGGGGTTGCAGGCATCTGATCTCAAGAGTGAAAATCAGGCTATTGAATTTGAAGATGATGAGGTGCAAGTTACCATTTAGTTGTCTATTTCATGCAGAGGACAAATAGTTACATAAGTTACCACTTATCACAATAGGTATCTATGCCCTGGAAAAAGTGCCTAGTGAAGAGGAGACTTTGGTAGATAGAATGGTTGTTGTAATTGACCATTATGGTGGGCCCTATAAGGATGGGAGCTACGGTGGTGTAGTGCTTAAGGCATTTGACTGCTAACCAGAAGGCTGGCAGTTCAAACCAACCAGCCACTCCTTGGGAAGAAGGTTGGACAATCTACTTCTATAGTGATATCGCCTCGGAAACCCAAGGAGGGGTCACTATGGGTCAGGATCGACTCCACAGCAGTGAGTTGTGTTGTTGTTGTTTTAATAAAAACTGAATGAGGAGCCCTGGTGGTGCAATGGTGAAGTGCTTGTCTGCTAACTGAAGGATTAACAGTCTGAACCCACCCAGTGGCTCAGTGGGAGAAAGACCTAGCAATTTGCTTCCACAAAGATTACAGCCAAGAAAACCCTAGGGGACGGTTCTAGTCTGTCACATGGGGTTGCTGTGAGTTGGAATTGACTTGATGGCACCCAACAGCATAAGTGCTGTTGATAATTGCACTGGAGAGCTTAGAAAAGAAGGGATTAGGGTTTAAATATGCAGCTCAAGGCAGGGTCAGAGGACTGGGAACCATTCCTGACTACTCTAAACATTGTGTCTACAATGCAGTGAATTGCTTAATATGGCCCTTCTAGCCACCATCTTCCATTTTGTGGTGTACTCTAAAGGGTGGAATGTATCTTGAGTCCTGCCTTGCTGGAGGGCCTGACTCAAGTTGCCACCCTTAGCTTCCTTGAGGGTATATATGTGAATGTTCTGGGAAAGTTCTCTCTCTTGCTCTGGTCCTGTGTTTGGTTCATCATTATCTTACCTTGGACTTGACAGCAGCTAGTCATCTGACCTACTGATTTGGGTTCACCAGCCCTTGCAACCATGCAAGTGGGGAGAATCCGCCAGAGCTACTCATGGCCTTGAGACTTGCCAGCCTCACTGCCTCCACCACCATGTGAGCTGTTTCCTGGTGAGTTTGTGAGTTCTGTGAGACTTCACAGTGAAATACAGAACCCTAAAACAGGAGGGAGAGTGCTGAGGGGAGGAGGAGTTGATGTCAGAGATGATGGAGTGGCACAGCAGTTTGGAAAAGTTGGACATTTGAGACATCTTTCATCTCCACCTCTTAGGGAGCAGCCTTGTGCTAATCCTTCTAGAAGAAATTATTCGAGCAGTATCTAATCTTTTAGCCACAGGTTCCTCTAGCTGAATATTGCACAGAGCTGATCCTATGGGTTGATGAATTGCACCTCAAGTCTCTAATGTGCTAGTTGGTGCATTGCATGGGAACAAATGGCATTTAGGAAATGAAATGAGATGCCTCAGTCACCTGTCCTCAGGATCCACTTTGGCCAGTCAAAACAGCCCCTCTTGCCATCTCGTGAAGCTGGTCCCACTTTCCTTGGAGAATGGTAGTGACTACACCTGAGAAAATGATTTTGCAAGGAAATGCTGATTACTGTCAATAACCACCCTACCACCCTTCATTCACCTCCAGATCTTTAAGGAGAGTCAGATTCTGGAATGCCCCAGGGGACAAGCACATAGTTTGACCAAGGAGAAGGTAGCTTACACACACATACACACACCTCCCTAAAATGCAAGCCTTAATGACTTAAATGGGCTGAAATATGGGGAACAGGGTGGAATTGGCTTCTATGGGTGCTAGGTGAGGGAAGAATGAATATTAACATTATACTGGGTTAAATTTATTCATATAAATGCATGTA